TGAAAACTAGTGAAAAGAGAATCTCTCAAAAGCATACAGAGAAAAAAACTTTATGTTCAGTAAAACAAAAATATTGACTGCTAAGTTCTCATGAGAAACAGTGCAAGTCAGGAAGCAACAGAATGGCATCTTTATAAAGCGCGGAAAGTAAAATAAAACAAAAATAAAAACTGTCAAATCAGAATTCTGAATTCAGAAAAAAATTAATTTAAAAAAGAAAACAAAATAAAGCCATTTTCAGACAAAAGCCAAGAGAGTTTGCCACTCATAACCTGCACTCTAAGAAACGTTCAAGAAAGATGGTAACACAGAGGGAAAATGGTATCCGAAAGACACTTGGGTCTACACCAAAAAAAAAGAAGAGGGCCGGAAATGGCAAGTCTGTGAGTAAACACAAAATAACTGTTTTCTCACTTTAAATTTTTTTAAAAGATAGCTGACTTACCAAAAAGAGTAAATGACATACATAGGAGCAAATGAGAGGGCAACAGCATAAAGGATGGGATGAAAAGTGGAAGAATTCTGTCATCTGGTCATTATGTATGAAGTAACAACACTATTCAATGATAGACTGTGATTGAGATGCATATTGTAATTACTAAAGCAACCACTTTAAAAAGAGGTAGAGCTAATAATCCTAAACAGAAGTCAAAATGGAGTACTCACTTCATCCCAAAAGAAGGCAGAAAAAGGAGGAATGAAGGAACAAAAAAAACGGGACAAGTAGAAAATAAAATCAGGATGAGAGATTTACACCCAATGATATCAATAATTCTTTAATATTAAACAACAACCAAAAAAAATAAAAACCACCAACACAGGAGAGTATGTATTGCATTACTCCATTTACATAAAATTCTAGAATAGACAAAAATAGAAAAAGGATCAGTGGTTGCCTGGGGCCAAGGGTATTACACACAAAGAGGCATGAAACATCTTTTTAGGGTATGGAAGTGTTCTATACCTTTATTTGGGCAATGATTATATGAGTAATTTTGTATACATCTGGTATTAGGTATTTTATTGTATGTGCATTATACTTCAATGAAGTCTTTTAAAAAGTTGAAAAAAAAAAAAGGCAAGACAAGAGATTTGAACCCAAGCAGCCCAGAAACAAGTGCTTATGTTCTTACCAATTCACTATACCCTTTTTTTTTTAAGATTTTATTTATTTATGTGACAGAGAAAGAGAGAGAGAGTGAGAGAGAGACCAAGCAAGGGGAGTGGCAGGCAGAGAGAGGAAGAAGCAGGCTCCCTGCTGAGCAGGAAGCCCGACTAGGGGCTCCATCCCAGGACCCTGGGATCATTACTTGAGCCGAAGACAGACACTTAAACAACTGAGCCACCCAGGTCCCCTCCCCTTTTTAAAGATTTTATTTATTTGAGAGAGAGAGGGAGAAGGGGGGGAGGCAGAGGGAGAGAGAGAGAAGCAGACTCCCTGCTGAGCAGCAAGCTCAAGCTCACTACATGTGGGGCTCGATCCCAGGACCCTGGGATCATGACCTGAGGCATGATGAAGGCAGATGCTTAAATGGCTGAGCCACCCAGCTGCCCCTCACTACGCCACTTCTTGTCCAGCCTTTAAGATTGGGTCATCCATCAATATAGCTTGCCAATACATGACATTGTGACTTTAAAAACCAACGTGACTGACACATAAACGAAAAGATGTGCATGGTGCTCCTAGATGAGAAGTCAATCTTGTACAGAAAGCGCTCACCCTCAATTTAGTACAGACAGATAATGTAACACCAGTCAAAATTCCAATGAGAGTTTTTGGGAGGAAGGCAAAGTGTTTAGAAAATCAATGTGAAATTTTATCTGAAAGGATGGGCAAGAATAGCTAAAAGGTTTTGAAAAACCAAATAAAAGGGTATCTTGTCTGACATATTGCAACATCTTTTTTTTAAAGATTTATTTATTGTAGAGAGAAAAAGAGAGAGAGTGCATGAGGGGCAGGGGGAAAGAGACAGGGGAAGCAGACTCCCCACTGAGTGGGAAGCCCAAGGTGGGGCTGGATCCCAGGACCCTGAGATCATGACCTGAGCTGAAACCAAGAGTTGGACACTTAACCAACTGAGCCACCCAAGAGCCCCTACTGCAACATCTTTTAAAACCTAGTAATTGAAGTAATCTGGTACTAGTGAAAGAATAGACAAATAAAATTGTGAGTCCTAAAACAGAAACATGTATATATGGAAATTTATCATATGTTAATGTTGTATTCAAATTAGCTGCAAAAAGATAGATTGTTTAATAAATGGTGTTGGAGTAACTGAACACTCACTTATAAAAAAATAAACCTAGTCAACATCACTGATCATCAGGGAAACACAAATCAAAACTACAATGAGATACCACCTCACACCAGTCAGAGTGGGTAAAATCAACAACACAGGAAACAACAGGTGTTGGCGAGGATGCGGAGAAAGGGGAGCCCTCCTACACTGTTGGTAGGGATGCAAGCTGGTGCAGCCACTCTGGAGAACAGTATGAAGGTTCCTTAAAAGGTTAAAAATAGAACTACACTGTAAGCCAGCAACTGCACTACTGGGTATTTACCCACAGAATAAAAAAATACTGATTTGAAGGGATACATGCACCCCGACGTTTATAGCAGCATTATCCCCAAACTATGGAAATAGCCCAAGTGTTTAATTGAACTATGATACACTGATGCAAGAGTATGCTATTCACCTATGAAAATGAATAAGGGGATCTGTAAGTACTGACATATAAGGTGCTATATCTCATTTGATATATTATGATCTCATTTTTATTAAAAAAATATTATACAGTAGAAAGCCCTTAACTGGCTCAATCTGGACCACTGACTGATTAATTGATTTATTTTGAAAGAGAGAGAGCATGCATGCAAGTGGGCGGAGGGGCAGAGGGAGAGAGAAAATCTTAAGCAGGCTCCATGCCTAGCATGGAGCCAGACGCGGAGCTTGATCTCACGACCCTGAGATTGTGACCTGAGCCGAAATCAAGAGTCGAATGCTTAACCGAATCACCCAGGCGCCCCATGACTGGCTAATTTAAAAAAAGGTTAAAGCAGGGAAAGATCCTTAAATATTTCATTTTAATTTAAAAAATATGTATACTCATTCTCTAGTCTTTGGATATAGAACCAAGGACTTTTCTCTAATTATGGGTTTACCTTTCCTTTCTGATGAAACTATCCCCCTAAAATACTGTTTAAGATTTCTGCTTTCAGTTTCTTTAAAGTGGAGTGAAGACTTAAAAATATTTGCAAAGCGAGCCAGGTGCACATTCTATCTAGCTTTATATTTTCCCCCAAGTTCTTATGTCTTGCCCACTCCTCGTTGACTGCAGTTTTTAAGGCATCTAGCCCTTAGCAAATCTTTTCAAAGCACTAGATTTAGTTTAAATAGGAACTATAATTTCCTTTCACGCCCACATTTTGGTTTACATATTTCATTAAAACTGCAAATTACTGTAACAAGTACAACTAGAATAAGAGGTTTGGAAACAAGATTAACTCTTTATAAACATAAAGCTCAAGAATCTCTAACTATAAATTAACACTCGGGTTTAGTTAACCAGTCTCTTATGAAACATTTTTACCTGAGTCCATTTAACCAAGTATCATTAACTGCATCCGCTGATACAGTCAAGCCCTTCCGCACGGGCCGTCCCGTGTGGGAGTCACTAGCCACATGCGGCTGTAGCGACTCACAAAGGGGCTGGTCTGCACCGACACGTGCCGCAAATGCAATCTACAGGCCAGATTTCAAAAACTTTGTATTGAAAAGAGAATGCAAAATACTGTGACAATGACTTGTTATATTGATCCTGAGTTGAAATGATAATATTTTGGAAATACTGGATTAAATAAAATGTTAAAATTAATTTCAATTGTTTTAAAACTTTTTTAATGTGGCTAACAGCAAATTTTAAATTACAAGTGTTGCTCATTGTATTTCTGTGAGGCAGCACTGTTCTTGATCTGCAAACATCCTTCCTTCAACAGGGAGGTCATCGGTGAAGTTCTACTTGAAACAATGAATCAGACTTTCTTTTTTTATCATCTCTGTTACCTGAATCCAAGACATTTAGAGTAACATTTCAGAATAAATTTTCTAAGCAGACTTATGACTCTTTATCAAGGGTCAATAAACTATGGCCCATGAGCCGAATTTGGCCTGCTGTCTATTTTAGTATGGCCTGCAAACTAAAAACCGTTTTTGTGGTTTTAAATGATTGGGGGGGGAGAATCAAAAGAAGGTTAGTAATTTGGGATGTGTAAAATTATATGAAATTCAGATTTCAGGCTCTATAAACAAAGCTCGATGGGGCTGTGGCCATGCTTAGCTTGTACGTTACCTATGGCTGCCGCTTCCTGCTTCACAAGGGCAGAGTGGAATGTCGCAGCAGAAACGACAGTACCTGCAAGGTCTCCAATATTTACTCTCTGGCCTTTTCCCGGAAACGTTTGCTGACCCCCGCTCTTTCTCATCCCTTATGGCTCATGGGCATAGTAAGATGCCAACTGCATCTACAGGATCTGGTGAAACAGTGAGGAGAGAGAGCTGAGTTTCCATTTTAATCTCTACTAGAGATCAGTTTGGATTTCCAGCTTCTTAACCTGCTTCTGCCATTAACGTCCTTGACTCGGAAAAGTGTTTAGAACCCCAGCTTCTGGGATAGATTTTGTTTGTTTCCTTTTGCCTCTGGGAAGTGTTCCTTCTATTTCAAAACATAAGAGGGTGTTTTTTTTGTTTTCTGGGACAGGTTTTCCACAGATGACATCCCGAAAAACACTCCAAGATCCGTGCCATCGAAAGGTCAATGCACAACTTGACTTTGACATTCGCGAGTGTTCTAGCTATGACAATATGCCGCCCTATGAGGGCTTGGGTACTCACTGCTCTTGCGGTGTCCCACCGCTATAGATAACATACATTCTGTTTTCTTTCAAACCCTCTCTTCATTTGCAGGACTGTTCCTCAACCCACGGCTTCTCAGGTACCTACCTCAGTTGACCCTGTGAACGCAATCTTGTCTATGCCAATGTGAGAAGCTATTGCTGCCCCAGCCGTTGGCCCGTATCCTGGCAAAATATTGATGACTCCCGGCGGAAAGCCAGCCTGACAAAACAGAATTGGAGGAAATGTGGCTTGTGAAAGCTGATGAAGCACATTAAATCGGATATGCTCCAGTAGGCCCCAGGTATAAGGGGAGTGCGAGCCACTCCTAAAGCCGGTTTCCCTTACCTCCTTGATGAGGGCTCCCATGTAGAGCGCGCTGAGCGGGGTTTGTTCTGCTGGCTTGATAACTACTGTATTACCACAGCAAAGAGCCGGAGCAATTTTCCAAGCAAACATCAGCAGGGGGAAGTTCCACTGAAAGGGAAAAACTCAAGGTGGATAAATGAAAAAATATTGCTCTATGACTCTGTTTTCAAGCTGTGACTGCTGGGATTTCTCAGACAAGGCCTCTACATAAATCTTGTCTCACCACAGAGTATAGATGTTCGGGTATTTTAATTACTTCATTAAGAAGAGAAGAGGACTGGCCTTGAAAATCTCCCCTTTTCTCTCCATTCGGCAAAATACTATATCCCAATGCCCCACCAAAGGAAATCTCAGGGTGAAAAGGGAGTTTTTGTTTTTTCTTTGTTTTGGTTTGGTTTTTCATTTTTGTCATTTTTGTCTGTTTTTAAAATTAGACTTTGGGGGGCGCCTGGGTGGCTCAGTCGGTTAAGCGTCTGCCTTCGGCTCAGGTAGTGATCCCGGGGTCCTGGGATCAAGCCCTACATTGGGCTCCCTGCTCAGCGGGAAGCCTGCTTCTCCCTCTCCCACTCCCCCTGCTTGTGTTCCCTCTCTTGCTGTGTCTCTCTCTGTCAAATAAATAAATAAAATCTTTAAAAAAAATAAAATTAGACTTTGGTTCCAGTAAGTTCCTGTGTACAAAAACTTTTTCTTGCATGTGTGATTTTACACCAGCAGCTTCAGACGGGTTTGAGAGAGCTCTTCGGTGTGGAAGGGCTGGAAAAGAAAACTCCAGCTGTTAAGTCAACGTGTACTTGAAGGGAGTGCCTTTTCTTCATATACACGTATTGTCACAAAGCACCCGATGACGAAAAAGAAACCGCATCGACTGATGAGTATGCAAAAATTTTCATTTGTCTCCTTTCCGTTGCAAAATAAACGAATGGGAGGCTGAGAAATATAAGGGAGTATCTGAATTTGGGGCCTAAGATCAGTTTATCTAAACTGATTCTTAAAAAGGATATTAAGCTTGTACTGTCACAGGCACAGGGATGAACCTTGGTGCCATCAGGTGTCATTGATAATTTCATTAAGAAAGAAAACAGAAATCCTGGTCCCCTGGCTTCAGCCCTTGACCATAATGTGTTTCAGCCTGAAGCATCTCAGCGGCCACCCTTGAAAGATTCTCACTGGCCCTGGCAAGCTTGCAAAAATATACAAGTGTCTTGCCTTCACCAAACACCCAATTTCTTTTCCCCTTGGTTGTTTATAAACTTGGGAGTCCACAGCGATGTTTTAATTCCATCTACAGTATATAAATCTTGGAGTGCGGTAATTGAGCTGGAGCTGGCTGACAAGTGGTTCTTGTGTTGTCAGTGAAAGCTGGAGCTCCGAGCTTGCCTCTGGGGAAGGGCGCGAAGAGCAGGTTTGAGTTCCCGCAATGGAGGTGACAGACCTCACCCCCGATCCACGGGGGATTTCCCTAGATGGGTCAGGAGCGGCAGAACTTAACCCAACTTCTCATTTTCTGTTTCATTCTCTAGTAAATTTCACAGAAACCCACAGCTCACAGATCACTTAAAAAAAAAAAAAAACTAATACCTCTCAAAAATCTCTGCCCCCCACAAAGCCAAAGATGACCTCCTCCTATATTTTGGAAAGAGAACACTTCTTGTCTCTACCGCAAGAGTTGAATTTGAGCCTCTCCTGAAATCCCTGCCAGAATGATTAGCTAGTACTGTTGGAAGATTCGATGATGTTTTATACAGTGCCAAGGCTGTGTATGAGAGAGGGGGAAAAAAAAGACAATGTTTAATGTTCCAATCCAAACACTAAGCACTACATCTATTTCCCTTTACAAGACATACAACAGCCCGGCATGGTTTCAATTATGACCGTGACGTTAATTGTACTGCTGTGTCTTCCGTAGAGTCTTCTATCTAGATTCTTGTGAAAAGAAACAGTGGGAAAGAATGGGATTAAAAGACCATATAAAACAATATGCCTGGAAAGATGGTGAGTCATAGTTCTAAAAAATAAACAAGCAAATATAACAAAGCATTAATTTTCCATAAGCAGAACGGACATCCATAACCAAGGGCAGGTTATTAATACACTGGGCTTTGCTTTGCTTTGCTTATTTTAATATGAGAATTCCATGGCTTGAGAACTCAACTCCTGGTAACGGAGCCGAAACCCTATTAACCTGTTCAAATAAGCATTTGCGGGGAGGCTGTTAAAGATATGTCAACAACATGAGCTCAGTTTTTTGCCCCCTGTAATGGAAAGCATACCTCGTTGAGGTCCATGTTTTATGTATCTTTAAGAGAACTGATTCAAATGAAAATAAATAGGAGGCGTGAGGAGATTCACTCACCGGGATGATCTGTCCACACACTCCAATGGGTTCGTGTCTGGTAAAAGTAAAATAATCTCCATCTGAAAGAAATGCCCACGGTTACTACCAGAGAATTTGGATGAGAAGAAAAAAATGTAGAGGGAGAATTTGGGTAGCGACGGAAAAACCAGAAATAAAGTTGAGAAAACATCCTACTCAGCCGTGTAGGAAAGCTGGTAGGAGAGCTTATCACTAGGGACAGGGTGTCTCCAGATACGGCTCCTGGACACCCAGAGTACTGATGAGGGGCCTCGAAGGTGAAATGAAGGACAAGTTTATGACAGGAGAAGCAGTCTTCCGGGGAGGTGGGGGCAGGGGACTGGTGATGGGAGGAGAGGGGCTGGGAACTGGAAAATTGTAAATACTAAATTTTATGTTAAAGTGCTAAAATGATACTTCAATGTACCTCAATATTTTAAATAACTTTATGAAGTATTCAAAAAAAACCTAAGTAAAATGCTACTGGGTAAATTTTAAATGGTAGGCAACTAGGAAAGGTGAATAGTACAGTAAGATCTTTTTTTATAACTGAATCCAGGAGTCAAAACACACTTTCCGGGCACAGGGAGAACAGAGACATGTCTGGGCCTCTTTCAAGAAGGCAAAAGCCCACGTCAAAAAAGATTCCATCAAAACCCCAAAGACTCTACCCTCAAATTAGCCAGGGAAATAAGGACGATTTAATAATCTTATTTTCCCTATAGGAGCAATAGGCATAATAATAATAGGAATAATTACCCAGGAAATCCAAACCAAATTTTTCTTTAGGAAAATACCATTATGTTTATCTGATTTTATTTTTTAATTTTTTTATAGATGCATTATTTATTGAAACAGTCTATTGTTAATGAAAATTTAGATTGTTTCCAGTGTTTTGCTAATGCAAACAATGTTGCAATGAATTATTTCATCTTTATTTACCTGTACTCATATATTTTTGATCACTTCCTTGAGGTGGAGCTGCTGAATGAAAGCATATGTTCATATTAAATAGTAATAAACTGGGCGCCTGGGTGGCTCAGTTGGTTAAGCGACTGTCTTCAGCTCAGGTCATGATCCTGGAGTCCCGGGATCGAGTCCCACATCGGGCTCCCTGCTCAGCGGGGAGTCTGCTTCTCCCTCTGACCCTCTTCCCTCTCGTGCTCTCTCTCATTCTCTCTCTCAAATAAATAAAAATCTTAAAAAAAAAAATAGTAATAAACCTTTTTGACCTGACCTCCCTAGATATTGTATCAACTTGCACAGCCATCAATGATGTGTGATAGATTCTGTGTCAATGCATTATTATTTTTTTATTTAAATTTTGTTAGTTAACATATAGTGCGATATTGGTTTCTGGAGTGGAATTCAGTGATTCATCACTTACGTACAACACCCAGTGCTCATCATAACAAATGCCTCCATCTCCCATCTAGCCCCTCCCCCACCCTCCTCCCTCCATCAACCCTGAGTTTGTTCTCTGTCATTAAGAGTCACTTATGGCTTATTTCCCTGTCTCCTTTTTTTGTTTCCCCTTCCCATGTGTTCATCTTTTTTCTTTCTTAAATTCCACATATGAGTGAGATCATATGGTATTTGTCTTTCTCTGACTGGCTTATTGCACTTAGCATAATACTCTGTAGCTCCACCCATGTCATTGCAAATGGCAAGATTTCATTCTTTTTGATGGCTGAATAATATTCCTATATATGATATGATAATATGTATATCATGTTTTATCTGAATTATTTTAAATGGCTAATTGAGATAACCAAATAATGGCTTGTTCTTAGCATACGGCACTACAATGCCAGTCCTGGACAAAGTCTTTGTTTTTCCCTCAACTGCCAACCCTGTGGCACTCACATTCGTTTTCTATCTCAAAAGCTGTCCCCAGGGAAAGTGAAGACCCCCCCCCCAGCTAATTCTCCTGAAGAGCATTACTCTTAAGGATGAAGAAGTAGGGACAGGAGGAGTGTTGTGGGTTAGGGGAAGAGAAAGGATATGATTGTTTATCATGGTCTCTCAACTAAACCCCTCCTCTTTATACACAGAACTGTTTTAATTAAGTTCAAAATTAGGCATTTTAAAATAATTAAAGGTCTCTCTCCCTCCTGGACCTCTTGCCAGAATTCACAGCTATCTGTTGCTGGTGCATCTTTTCAAAGAACTTTTTTTTTCACATACAAGTATGTGTAGCACCCTTTTATTTCTCCCCCCAGCTTTTGAAAAAATATTAATGTGATCATACTATTCACAGTCTTCTATATTTTTTCCCACTTTTTTTTTCAGATACAGCTTACACATTTTTTGAACTGCTGAATGCTATTCCACTGGTTCAATACTTGTAACTACTATAAACTGTCCCGAGGGACACAGAAATTGCTTTCAGTTTAAGCTATTATGAATAATGCTTTAAACATGATCATTTCACATTATCTTTGCATATCTGTGGAATTTCATGGTCAAAGTGTATGTGCATTTCACATTTTGATAAATACTGCCAAATCATCCTGCAGAAAAGTTATACAATTTAGAATTCCAACAACAACATGGTATTTTTTCCCATCCTTCAACACTGGGGCTTTTCAAACATTTTAATTTCAGTCAACTGGACAGGTGGAAAATGACAACTTATTATGATTTGTGTTTCATTATAGATACATGGTGTGAATATCTTCTCGTGTTTACTGGCCATTTTCAATTATTTTCTTCAAATTTATATCTTTTGCCCTCTTGCTGTTGGGTTATTCAACTTTTTAGTCATTTGAAGAACTCTTACATACATCCTAAGGAAATTAGGTCTTTGTCATGTGTACTTGCAAAGTCTTTTCCTGATCTGCGCTGCCCGTCTTCAAATCTGTTTTATGACAACGCTTTAAATGGAAGAAACTGGGAAACAGGCAGCATTCAACAACTGTAGGAAGGGAATTATTTTAGCATATATCCCCATTAAAACAAAAGTAGCCCAGTGGAAACTGTCCATAGGGTGACAATAAGAAGTCTGAGTAATACTTTAAAAATCAAGTCAACTATCTTAGCTTTGTATGCAGACAACTCAAGAATTTTCATAGATACCATTCTTTTAAAGATTTTTTTTTTTTTTGACACAAAGAGAGACAGTAAGAGAGGGAACACAAGCAGAGGGAGTGGGAAAGGGAGAAGCAGGCTTCTCGCTGAGCATAAAGCCCGATGCGGGGCTCGATCCCAGGAAGGCAGACGCTTAACGACTGCTTAACTAGGCACCCCTCATAGATACTGTTCTTTACAAAAGTACAAGTTACTGTCCTTTTTCAACTCACAATCTCTGAAAAGGTTGTTTTGTTTTAAATATCAATACCTTTTACTGCTTCACTTTGTGTGTGTGTGTGTGTGTGTGTGTGTGTGTAAGATATAAATGGGATGTCAGGCTCTTCTTCCCGGAAGGTTTTTCATAAGGAGCAATAACCCTGATCAAAAGGTTAGATAGTTTCATATGCACGGAAATCCTTCCCAACTCAACTGTAACTTGGCTAAGGTGACGGCTCCAGGTGGATCATCACAGACGACAGAATCAGAGTATCATGTCAACAAGGGGTGCAAACGGGCTGAGAAAAAGATGGGAATCTGGACTGAAGACCACCACGGGCGTTTACTGTGGCAGCACATGCAGGGAAGCTGGAGCAGTTCAGATGAAGCATGTCCCCCTCTATATTCTAATGGCTCAAGAATTTAGTTGTATTACTTGTATAATTTTCAAAGTTCCTGAAGAAATGAAAGAGAAACAAAATGTAGGCAGAATCTTACAAGGCTGACCTCACAATGACTCCATAATTGTGTCCCAAGAGAAACTGAGTTATGGGGGAATTAAAACTTTCTTGGATGAACTGTCCACAGATTTGACACTTAGCTAAAGGCTGGTATAAAGAATGGACTGAAGAATCTTCTATCTCTACAAGCTCCTCTAAGCAGGAAATGAAGAAATAAAGGGTATTTTGGTGCTTAAACTCTTCCTCCAAAGAATGCTGTGTGAAAGAGATAAAGGGGCCCTGACCTTGAGCTCAGTCTGTATTCTCATCTGGTTGGTTAGTGGGAGATGATCCCGGGCACCCCGAGTCTGACTGGGGTGCCAGGCAAACATAAGAGCTATGCTTTCTACGTGTACCCTTGGCTAGGGCTAACGTGGGCACCATAGAGGTCCTTCAAGCTACTCTGACCCTGCTCGGAATCCCACCCAGCTGCTCCGCTAACATTACCCAAAGGCCACCTTCATCATTTTCACCGCGTCCAAGTACATTACTTACTCTGTTACTTAATAATTTGTTAAATCATTTTTTAAAAATATGTGAAGAGCTACTTGTTAGTCTCACCTTAAAAAACTCTATGGAACAACAGGTTTCATGAGCTAGCAATATTTTCTTCAAACCTAATAATTAAAATGAGGAATGTTCACTACTTTACTGTTTAGAATAATCTAACATGCTCCAGTGCCATGTGGTATGTACTGTGCTTCTCAAACGGAAACGTGTATATGAAGCACCTGGAGAGCTTGCATTTTAAAATGCAGGTTTTGAATCAGTGAGTCTGGGGCAGGACCTGAGACTCTGCATTTCTCCACGTTCCCAGGCAATCATGGTACTTCTCATCTATGGACCACGCTCTGAGTAGTGAGGTGCAGAGGAACGGGAAGAGCAAAGAGGGTCCCTGGGTATCATGAGGACCTACAGCTGCTTTACAGCTGCTGACTTCCTTGTCTATTTTACTGTTTGCCTCTCTGATGACTCTACTGATCTGCCCAAAGGAGTTCAAGTGTAGGAGAATCTGATCAATCTTTTTAATATTTTACAAATACTAAAATAAGGCCAAAAACGTGTCTTTCTATAGAGCTTAACAAACTATTTTCACATTATCTCATTTCAAGCTCAAAACAACTCTATAAAAAAATAGGGCAACAGTTATTATCAGTATTTTGTAAGTAGAGAAAAAAAAATGGCACAGAGAGGTTAAGTCTAAAGTGACTTAACCTGGTTAAACTGTGCTTCTGGATTTGAATCTGAGTCATCAGACTTCAAGTTCATTGCCC